CCAGGGAGATTTGCTTTTAACTTGCACAATTAAAGATACTTGCTGTGTAAATCCATGACTTGGGCAACGCCATAACGAACAGATAGAAAATGCCGTGCAGGTACCTCAGTTCCTGCTTTGGCAGACTGTCATAAAATGGTGCTAGGTTCTGCTGATGGACTTGTGCTTTCTCCTGTTCACCTGGCAGAACTGATAAGAGCAAATAGCAATACTGAGTATTAGGAGCTATCTAGCAGGTTGATGAGTGATTAAGGAGAGGTCAACGTGGACAAATGAAGGAGAACAACAGGAATCAGAAAATCTGAACTGCGAAGGAAAGCAAGGTCAAGGAGTATGGTAGCAGTGAGGAAAGATCACCGAACACAGAGTTATAAACAAACCTGGTGCTGTCAGTTTTCTTCTAAGGGTTTATTAAGATGCCCGAAGGTGGATGGGTATCTGATAGCACTTACCGAACAACCCACGTCTCTTAAGTCAATGGGCACATAGCACCCGTGCAATTTAAGTTTGGAACCTCAGTGCTTCAGAATATACTTAATCTACCACAAGTGGTTGGGTTTTTTGTTTGTGGTTGGTTATTTGTTTGTTTTGTTTTTTACAAACACACCTAATGCTTACCGTAATGTAAGCATGTACTGCAATTATGCAAGTGATCTTTTCCTTTCCATTTGGGTTACTCATTACTCCTGATCTTTTCTGGTTTTGATGCTCACTTATCTGTACATTGCTGCTTTTAACACAGATACCTTCTATTTAGGCATAGACTCACTGTCACTTTTTTTACTCTAAATAATAATTTGTCCTTCTGGCATGGGAATTAGGTCTTTTCACAAACATCCAAACTGTGATGCATTTCCAGCATATCTGTAGCTCAGTAGCTGCTTTTTCTTCATTTACAATGTTCGGTTGATTATTCAGGAATTGCTCCTGTCCCCTAGATCTTAGAAGAGGGCACAGAAAACTGCTCCATGCTTGGACGCCCCTCATCATTCTTCAGCTTCCTTACACTTGGGCTTGTTCTTCAAAAATTGCAGCTTTTTTTTTTTTTCACTTCTGTTCTCTTTCTACATCCCAATCTTTTAATGCAGTTCATGCATTTATGGGAGGGAGGAGAGGGTGTGTGGGTGGAATTCCTCAGCCAAAGCTTATTCAACCTGTTTTGTACCTTTGTGCTGCGTTTCATCCAGGATAAGGGTCAACAGTCAGCCAGTGTTAAATGTCATAGTCCATTAGTCAATGGGGACAGTTTGCACAGACAAGATTCTGCTATAAAACAAATCTCTTCACAGATAATCCATGTTTCCTGCATGCTTTTAAAGATCAGCTATGCTTTCCCAGTAGCGCAAATGGGAGCACAGAAGTCCTGACAGATAGTATACTTATAATATATAATCAATAAGTCAGGACTAAGTTCCATGTATTGACCCCTTTATCACTGAATAAAATTTCTATTGCAAGGTATGGTTTTTCAACACGTATTAATGTATAACTTTAAGCATGCACTCATGCCTGCATATTGGGATGTAATGTTCATCGCTGTATGGCCTGGAAGCAGCACCATGGAGTGGTCACAAGGTCAGGCACAGAAGGATGCCCACATTCAGGTCTGTCCTTCTACCACCTTGTGGTGTAATTCAAAGCTGAACAAACTTTTCAGCATAGTTGCAAATTTCACGTAACCGGTTTGAATCCTCACAGTTGTTAACCATTCAGAACTACAAAACACTGGCTTTTTTTTGAGCTTATCTTCACCTACCTCCCTTACCCAATCAGTAGTTGGTATCTAATTCTCCATTTTTTTCATGGCACTTTGATACAGCATATGTAATAACTTCTCTGCCTTGTCACTTATTGTAACTCACATCCATTTACTTAGTTGGTGTAAACTCCATTAATTTCAGATCATTTGGCAAGTATTTTGTAAATAACCAATCTGAAATTCTTTGTTCTCTTTGATGATTCTGGGCTGAATCAAGTGAGAAAGAGAAAAATGGCCATCACTTATACCACCTGAAGCACTGCCTGTGTTGTTCAGATGGCTGGCCGCCTGTGAAATCTGTATAAACAAGCAGCATTTTATGTCTATACTTGTGATTTATTTCCTCACTCCCATCCTGACCACTCAGCAGGAGCTGCAGGAACTATAAACTTCAGTGATCTGTTTCAATTTAAGAAAAATAATTCTTGATACAGCAACTTTTTTTTTTTTTTTTTTTTTCTTTTTCCATCATCCCCCTGCCTGCCCCCCCCCCCAGTGGATGTAGTAGAACTATGTAGCTGCTTTTTTGCTTAACTAACCATCCTCTCTTTCTCTCTGGGAACTGTTTGATTCTCTAGGTTGTCAAATAATACCCCCTAGCTTTAGTGAAAGCTAATAATGTAATTATTATTATTTCAGCCTCACGTATTGCCAGTTTATTGTGAGGAGTTGCTTATCTTAACATACTTTAAGTATACTTTGGTAGAACTTCTGATGTAATAGATAATAGTCAGGTCTTTGTTTATTGTTAACTGCTGTCGTCAAGAAATCTATTGCAGCTTCAGCAATTGTCTTCTGAAATACAGATGTGAAAGCATGCTTTGGCAAACCTCCTCAAATTAGCTAATTACTAAAGCTGAGAACTTTGTCTTACTTTGGTGAGGAAAATGCAGTCAGCCTGACTGCTAACACTTAACTCTGACCTGTAAGTACACAACCTAAACCACTGCTGCTCTACGAACCCCATGATTTCAACACATGGGTTGCAATCATGCCACCACTGACAAACTCCCATGAGATTAATATTTCACTAGGGGCTTCAAATTTGCCACATATGACATAGGAAGTAAAATACATCTTGCACGTGCAGCTTACTACAAGCAAGATTTGCCATACGCATCTCCAAATAGGGTTTTTTGTGACCATCTAACTGTATGTGCCATTTGGTACCTAACAGCATGCCTACTTGTCTGCAAAGGCTACGCCTGACTTTCTGCTACACTTCTGGGTTTACCATCTAAACCTGCCTCAGTTTTAATACAGATGCGTGCTGTTTTCTTTTATTAGGTGACAGAAGTAAAGTTGAGACAATTCTTGAAATATCCATACATTCGTGTCAAAGAATTTGACATAATCAAATTTAGCTGCACAAGTTTTTGCAACTTAAAACAGACTCAAAAACGATGGTGATCCATCTGCAATGGATACCAAAAGCACAGCATGTAACTTCTGCAAGTCAACAGTTTGGTATGTAGAAGTCAAGCTCCTTTGTAACACTTGAAAATACTTAGCTATATATAAAAAGAACAAAATATGTACCTACAACTGTACAAAGAACAAAAAGTACTCTTTGCACTGTTCCTGCTCAAATAAATGAAAAGCTCAGTAATGTAGCACACTTAATTCACTTTCTGATTATGTGGCTGGAGGGTGAGGTGGGGAGAAACAAATCTTCAACATCTGTTTTTTTTTTTCCCCCCCTTGCTTACTCAATGGAAATGCTGCCTCAAAGCACCAACTCTTCTCTGAACACTTTTGAATTTTAAGTTTTCCACAACTGAAACATACCCTGATTATATGTATATATATACACATTTTTATCTCTCTCTCTTCATATATAATCTCTCTTGAAGGCTGGAGGTTTTTTCCTTTTAATTTATTCCTTTTTTACTGAAAACTCCTATGTCTTGATTGAAAAACAAAACAAAAACTCTCCCGGGTCTGCTCTGTGAGAATACTGCATTCCTCAAAGAAAGCAAGGGCTGATTGTCCCATCTGAAGCTACGAAAACAGACACCTAAATAACACTCTTGAGAATCTGCAACAGCAAGATACTATTTCATCTGACAGGTGCTTTAAAAAAAAAAAAAAAAAAAATCCTCCACATACAAGCTGAATTAGAAAAATATTTTTATTTAGAAGAGTAAATAATGTAGTGCAAGGAGAGTGGATTTAACCCTCAATAATGCATAGATTGATGCAATTTACAGTCTGTGATCTACATAATTTTGCAGAGGTGCATACACACCTGCTTTAAAGGTCAGACCTCTCCTACAGCCACCTACAGCTTTAAATCACACAGGGGGCATTTGCACTCCATACCTGTTATCTATATAGCCCATTTAACATTTATCAAATAAACTGTCACTTAAATAGGTGTCTTTAAGAGTTACTGTAGAACATGAAATAAATCCTTGCCAATGTTTTCTATAGAAGAATCCAAAAAAAAAATTGTTCATTCACTTTGTGTCACCTGTTCACACTTAAATACTATTTTATTTATTCATTAGGGAAGCTACTTTCTCTCATCAGTGGCTCTTGGCAGGGCAGGAAACATTTTCTTGTGTCCACCAGGGAACTGCTGACACTTTTGAAACTTTGACAAAGGGTTAGTCAGCAGAACTACTACGTTATGATCATATTGCTAATCTTCCTGGTGTTTTTCTTTCAAAACAAAACACTTTTCACATCAAAGAGTTAGGATGGAACACGAAATGCCAAAAAACTAATTGTTATCACTGCATGTACCAAAGTCCTGGCTGGTGTGCCATGGAACTTGGAAAGTGTTGGTGGCTAGGTTTCACTTTTATGTAATTTCCATGCTTCCAACTTGGAAAACTGATAACTTCACCAGTAAAATAAGCTCAAATGCAGTAAAGGCAATTTAATAAGATATTAGATATGTGAGTAAAACTACTTCTTCTCCATCAAAACTGGTGGGAGGTTTGCTCGTTCTTCAATTAGGCAAAGACTCTGCATGTTTTCTTCCAGCCCTTCAATGAAATACAGTATGATCATCTGTTGGGTATAGTGAGATAGTCTGCATTATCTTTTTGGAGTGTCAAATAAATTATAGGGATGGTTTTCCTCTATAGTGGAAAAATCAGATCAGTGAATCTACAATTTTAGCTGTTGGACTGCATGATTAATGCCTCTAATAGGGTTGGTTGCCAGTTCTTAGGTTTGTAGTTGTTCATATCCCATCTTCCCAATAGGACGTCAACCTTAAGAAAACTACACTTCAGCTTGTAACAAGAGGGTTCTGAGGGGTTGACTCCTGCTGTGCTAAATCATTTGAAAAAGTAGATTCATCTTCCTGTACTAGTCTGGTAGCATCCTCGTTGCTGTTCCCTGAGGAAGAAGCTTCACTTGACGATGGTTCTGATCTTGTTCCAGGAGAATTACGGGCTTTGGAAAAAGGTCAAAAGAAATTATTAAAAGACTCCACTGCATCTAGGAAGTTTATTCATCAATATTTAAATATTATGTGATATAAAATAACATATAAAGGTAATATTCAAAGGTTAGGAAATATTGAAAGAAGAATATCTGTAACTAACTCTATACTTTGTACATATGTAGTACGATTCCCAAGTTACATAAATTATAGCTAGTAAGAAAAGAAAGCAAGGTTTCAGAATTATTTCCATAGCATATTATTCACAGCTACATGTATTAAATGATACCTAGGAATTATAAAATTTAAATAATCTTTGTATATTTAATAGTGGTTTCAGTTTTTTTAAATACTATTCACTATAGGTGTAAGTTGTCGAAGTGGAAAGTAATTTTTTCTGTATTTTATAACAGAAACATGTCAGAAAACAGTATTTTCACACAAAGGCTTAAGCTGCCTACTGGGGTTAAATCACAACTTAAGAAAATGTATTTAGTGGAAGAAATTCTTTTCATAACTGGTAATACTGATTTCACAACTTCCTGATCAGGATCCTGTCTTGTGATTTGAAGTGAAACATTTGGTTGAAGATGCTAATGTTTTTTTAAATGATGACTCAGTATTTTGCATGTGATGGTAGGGGTTTCCCCCCCCTCCCCTTTCCTGTAGTTTTGTATGTAGTTTTGTCTCTGATATCTCTTTCAATATGGTAAAAAAATAATGGGAGGTTAAACAGAGTGAAATCTGGCATTTGGTTTTCTTTCCCTTAATATTCTCTGTCCCATCAGAAAAGACAACATACAGCAAACTTTTCTGGTTTAGGACAGGAAGAATCTGCAAGTGCTGATAAAGTATTTACTGCATCTGTTACTGGTCTGAAGAGGCTAAACTGCGTCCTCCTAAGTTATTCCAACATACCAGCTCTCTGACCCTCACTTTTTCTCCCACCTTGTATCTGAATGGATCCAGTCATATGAAACAGGTAACACAGTCTCATTGCATATTGCAGTGACAACATACGAAATCAAAGTCATATAATTACTCTAACAATACTGCATGTTGAGAGGTGGGAAATAATCTCTTATTTCCAGTCATAACCTCCTGCAGTTAATGTTTTTATTAATAATGTCCTTTATCAAGGGAAATTCTCAAGAAACCAACAGGTTTAAACCTGTGCCTTGCTTCATCCACCCCTTTTCAATTATCAAAAAAATGACTTATGCCTCAAAGAAGTTGCTGTTCAGAGGTACCTCTACCACATCTAGAATTCCTGCTTTTATTTTTGAAGTTTTTACTGAAACAAAGAGATCACTCCTCTTTCTTCAGTTTTACTATGACAACTACTTACCAGATAAAGACTGAAAATACTGCACAGCAAATGCAACCAGAATCGATAAAAGAAAGGTTCCCATGAAGTAGATCTGTGACAGTAAGTTTAAAAACATAATTAGAGTAGTGCAAAGCCAAGGTAGTGCTTCAAATGAACTGTGCAGGTAACAAAGGAGCAATACATACCAGAGTAGATTGTAAAATACTATTCCAGAAAACTCTCATGTAAAAATAAAGCAATGCTAATGAGCATGGACTAATTGATTCTTGGTTACTATTATTCCAGCACCTACAAGAAGAAGATTAAAACAATTAATGAGTCCTCCTGTACAGTTTTGTGGCATATGTTGTCTGGGAGTCTCAAGTGGGTTTGCAGCAAACCTCAGTAACCCAGAAAAACAAGCAGACCGTGAAGTAAAAATTCACAGAAATACCAGATTAACCTTATTAAACACAGAACACCTTACCCTAGGAGTGTATTTTTTTATTTTCTTATCAGTCAACAATGGGTCTAAGCATCCAGGCTGCCCTTGCAAAGCAGTCACAGTACAAGGCTATACTCAAGATACTTCGTTCTAACTAATGTGAATCAACAGCATCAAGACTTGATTTAAGATTAGCTGTACAAAATTTAGTTGCCTACGCAGGATGTTGGTGGCTAAACCCCCTTTGTCTCTAATGGAGTACTACACAATGCAGTCAGAGCTTGAAGACTGCTTTAGCTGACTAGCTACGAGGTATCTGTTGTGGGGTGAGCTGAGCAGCTTTCTCAGTTCCATCAATTAGGACTTCACCTACTAGGGGAATTTAGACACTAAATCATAGGCACCTGTTTTAAGCTACAACTGATTCTTTTCTACCAAGCTAAGCAGGGAGGGTGCAGGTATATAGAGAGATATATAATATTTTTATATATAAGAATCTATAAAATACATAATTTATATCTAAAATTAGGTATTATTTATATATTTTTATATACATATAAAAAGTACGTGCTCTTCTGGACAAAAGTGTGTGATGATGGGAAAATCCTGCAGTGCTGTCAACTCTGGAGTTACTCTCACAGCAAAGCAGATGGATTCTGCCCAAGTGAAGGCAGAATTCAGGCTCAAGCTTACAATCCCAGATGGACCAGCTGGTCCAGAAGCCCTGTTTATCTGACACGTAATTTCATGTGGAGTGCAGGTTATTTAAAGTACAAGTTCAGGCTAACTGCAGTGAAGACCAATTTCAGTGGATTGTTGGTGAATCAACAAATGAGGTTTTAATGCTGGTATCATCTCCACTTTTTTGGAGTCACACAACACTCAATAGCAAAAGAGAAGACAACCCACTCACTCTTGGTCCACAGCCTCATGTATTAACCGTTAGCCCCTCCTTCTTTAAATATCCAAAAGGCAATTCCACAAATCCACCAAATATTGTGCAAGCTTCCCATTCCCACTGTGCTTTCCAACACATGTTGCTTTACTCAGGTAAAGGAAGCCTAAGTTCTGTACTGGAACCAGAGGTCTCCAGGTGATTTGTGCATGAACAGTGCTGGCACAGCCAGTTCAAGCAGCAGACCTGTAACCTTCTCACATATCTAATATTCTGTGCCACAACATCTGTGCCAGGCTGGAATATCTTTGCAGAGTAAGTAGGAACGACTGCTATTATCCCAGTTACATACTTTTAAGTTCTGTATTAAATTATGCTGCATTTATCATTAAAAGACTGTTTTGAACTGTATACAAATTGTCAGTGCCTAACTGAGGAACTTAAATATACAGAATTGGAAAAGACCTCCTGGATCATTAAATCCAATCTCTGCTATTTCATGTAATCACATACAATCAGGCCTCTTTAACAGGCATAAACTGAAATATATTTAGGTAATTTAAGCATTTCAAGCATGCTGACCTTAACCTGCCTTAAATCATATAAGTGAACAAAGTTAATAATTACACGAGTTGCTGTTCTGTAGAGTAAATGCTACTCATGTGGAAAAACAGAAGGTGCTGATTAAGGGGAAAAAGACTCACCTGTAATAAAGTTCCTGAAGGAGTGACATATTACTAGAATGCAATGCCTGATCAATTTCCAAGTAATCCAGAATGTAGGATGGTATGGAGTTGCCCTCTTCTATGACAAGGGCCAAATTAAAGAAACCCTAACAATAAAAAAGTATACACACTTTTTAACCATTAAATTTTCATATGTATATTTAAGGTCTACTGTAAGCATCAAGTATCTAAACAATTCTAACTGTTTTCTGTGAATTCATTTAGTATAATGTGATCTTCACTGAATAATTATGAAAGCCTTCTCTCCTAACCATATATGCAGGTAAATACTGAAAATGCAAAAGAATTAGCGTTCATTTGTTGTGACACCGTTTTCTTAGAAACCATCTGGAAAAAGATTGAGTTTTCTCATTTTTAGTTGCTCTTCAAAGATAGCCACCATATCAAACTGTAATTTTTTTATCTACTAGGGAAATACAGACTGCGAGCCGAAATGGATTCCTGTTCTGTTACTGTTTAATTCCCCTCCACTTGGCTATATAGATCAACAGCAATCTGAATAGTGAAATTAAAAGCAGAAATTTCCTCCTGACAATCAAGTTCTTAATCTTACAGTTTTGCCTACTTGGACAAGTCTTAGGCATCCCTATGTCTCTACAGAGGCATGAAGATGAACACACACGAGTTAGAGGATTCCCCATCAGTTTGGCCTTCATACTTTAAAGTAACTGTTCATGCATCTCTTCTTCCCTTTGCTAGTTTAGCAGTAATGTTTTGTCCCAATATCCTTAAAAAGAGAACTCAACTATGCTACCTCTAATAAATTCACAAACAAGATACTGTCTGGGGACATTGTCATAGGGACAGGGAGAACAAAACATTGCACCCAGGATGCTTCAGGAGGGTCTGAGAGCAGGAAACTGAGTGACGAAACACTGCATGTCTGTGGTAATGTGATACGGTGAATCTTTTAATTATAAAGCATTTTCAGATGAAGATTTTGTTGGTGGAGTGAACAAAATCCAGCCCAGGATTCACTCAATATACCAAAGGAAATGGGCCAGTCTTGTTTATATTCTAAAAGAGTAGAGGATAGGACTGGAATACAACTCAGCAGTCTATTAATTCTTCCCCTTGCAGCAGCAAAAATACCACGGCCACAACAGAATCAATTGTGCCAAGGTAAGGTAGCACTGAATTAGGTCATTCAACTTTAGCTTTCAAAACAGCCTAATTCTAGGATTGTCTGTCTATGCTAGGTTTACCTTCTATTACCATGAAATAACAACTACTGACTCACAAGGTATTTTGAAATAATTATAACTTATTCTAGCAGGTTTCTTCAGTGCAGATGTAGCCAAGCAGAATAACGAGTCTCAGATAAATCCTTAGATTGTTCTAAACTTTCATGTTTTATAAACACATTACAACTGCAGACCCACCTGTGAATCTCCCTCCAATGCAGCTTGTGCATACATCCGCATTGAGAGCTCAAGGTCTTTAGACTGGTTCTGGTAACCATAGTAGTAGAAATCACCCATCTTCAAATAAACTGTGGAAGAAACCAGTAGCTGACCATTTAGAGTATTTGTAGAAATAGAATTAACCGACTATTAAAGTGATGGAGAAGTTAATAGTAATTCTATTTAAAAAAAAAAAAAAAAGGTGCTTTTTCTTTCTGGTTGTCTCTGTGGCTACTCTACATGAGCCTGCCCATTGAAAATATTTATCCTGGATGAAATTTTTCATGGTTTCTCTTTAATGAATTTAGTGAATGATATTGCCACTTTTACAAAAACTGATACTTAGAGACTTTATACTGCATTCCTTCTTCACTTGCTGAATCTGTCTTTGGGTAACCTGCAGCCTTATTATTCAAGGTTAGCCCTACTAACTTGATGATACTTGAAAACATGCTGTCTAAGCGTTTCTTCTGTACCTGTCACTATGGTGGTTGAACACATCCCAAAAGTTGCAGAACTTTGCTGACAATATTTTAATTAGTTTCAAATTCAACCCAACCCAGGACAACAGTAGGTATAGAGTTTTCCTGGTCTAGAAGGAAGCAATGCCCAGTAAATATTTTACAAACATTTTTCTGCGATTTTGCACACTAACAAAATGTGCCAACAGAGTGGGCATTGACCCAGACAGGAGCAAGCATGATATTGCACCGATCTTTGCTAAAGAGTTTAAAAACTCCCATGACCATGCTTACACTTATCTGAAGTAAGCTTTCCCCAAATGGTCTGAAACACTTCGACATCTTGTCTTGTGCATCTACGGCAGCTACCTAGAAAGCCCACCCGTTTTTACAGTGGCCTGTAGCAGAGCTCTTCCAGGAAGCAAGTCAGTCACTGATCTAACAGCAAAGGCAGAAAGACTACTCTGCACAGATGCAGAGTGGAAGGCCATTAATGCTGTAGGGAATCATCAAGAAGAGAGTTCCCCTCAACCATACTAGCTGCGTCATTCTGGCCCCGGCCTGGAGAGCAGTCCCACAACAGGCAGTGGCCTCAAGGTCACCCTGTGCTGCAATGGTAACGTAGCCATGGAAATCTCTGCTGCCAGGCTTAGACTCTCCATCCCAGGTCCTACACTGGGGATTTGATCCTCCACTATTGCAGAAATGGGCCTGAGATAAAACTCCCTTTATGTTACTCATGTGAGCAAGAGATAAAGTAATAAAATTCTTCCCCTATTGAACCCAGCAAGTCTGGGTTCAAACGGCACCTTGCTAAGGCATCTACAAACTTCTCATGAAAGCTAACAGGGTTTGTCACCTCCTGTGGACTCAGGTCGTATCAATGTGGTATTCAGTTTCCACACTGCTGTGTATTGAAATTAATAGCTTGAATTAGTCTTACTCTTCACTTTTCCAGATGCTTATTATAAAGCACTTAAACCTTCCTGTGAGACAATCAGATCAACGTTTTCAAATATTGAATAACTCTTTCAAAGGCACCAAAATGACTTAGTTACTGAAGTCACAGATGCAGTAAAATTTAAGGCCAGAGGAATGTAACTTATATGTAAATAAACCTCTTTTTTTTTTTTTTAAACCAGAGAATCCTTCAGTTCCCCAAGGTAAGCTGTGCCAATGTTGATAAACTCTGTACCCTAACAGAAAAACTCATAATAAATTAGATAAGGAATCCTTTAGCCTTCATTAGTTTCTCATGACTCAATTATGATATGGAAGTATATTTGCTTTTGGATTTTCTCTTTGATAAACTAAACAGCATGAGCTCCTAAAGTCTACTGCTATTTTTTTTTTCTTAAACCTTGAGTCAATTGCTCAGGCTCCTAAATATCTAGCCCCTTCTCAGGGCTTAGCTTTTTTATTTTATTTTATTCAAATTTTATTAATTTTATGACATAAAAAGGAAATTCTCAGAAAAGCTATGCTGAAACACACCACTTAAAATATCTTTTTCCCCCCCGATATTCCTATCAAAAAGGAAATTTATGATAAGCAGGGATTACTCTTCCCTTAACTTGCTCACTCACTCATACAGAAGTTGTAACAAACACAGTTTTTGAAATTTAAAAAAAAGGTAAAATTAAATGTGAGAAAGAATTCCTCATACATACCAAATGACGGTGCATTGACTTGAGAAACAGAGAAATTGTAGTATCTCCAAACACAATCAGTTGCTAGGTGTTTCCTTGCTAGGTCCTGGAAAAAAAAATTGATCCATTCATATCACACGTAAGAGATTAGGATCACATTATTATTAACAAGTGTTTCTTTTTAGGATAATGAGTTGTGAATACATTTACTTACTGGTCTTTCTTCACAGATGTGTGCTAAATTTGACTGTGACACTTCAATCCCAGTTTCAGCGGCTAAAATGTAATACAGCAAAGCTTCATGCCTAACATTAGATAAAACAAATTAGTGAAAAAATAACAAAAATAACATGTATTTTAGTTATAGTTAAAAAAACCCCAACCACTAAATAAATCGATAAAATCACCTAAAGCAAAATTTTGGTACAAGGTTTAAAAGCAAGAGGGTGGTAAAGCCATGCAACAGCTACATCTACTGGCAATGACTGGTGTAACAGGCCATGCCGACCTCAAGAATTTGCCGTGTTTTCTCTCTTCCATTGAAGCTAGATTGCTCCAGCGTGCATTTACTCTAAGTGCAAGACTGATGATAAAGTTGAATTGATATTAAGCCCAATTACCTATTTAAATGTTTCAGATAAAACATTCTTAAAAGACTCTCACCTCCTCCAATTAAAAAAAAAATCTGTAATTAACTTAGCTGTGTATATATCTGTCAAACATACATCTGAGTACTTCTTTGGTATGCTTTACCCTTTTATTTCTATGACTTGTTTGTGTTGTCCTTTTAAACTACGGGCTCTTTGGAACAGCAGTTGTCTGTCATTATATTTGAATGTGTGAATGAAATAACAGTCTCAGTCCCTCTATGGACTCAAAGCACCTCACTGATTGTAAAGCAAGTAATAAAAGCTAATTTTGCATTTACAGTATAGCAATTCAGTATTGCAGTACAGTGGTACAATGCTACTTGTGATTCCAGAGGAGAGCATCTCTTTCATGTTCTCTGTCACTCATCTATTGAATATTATGAAGACTAAGCATTCAAAATTAAGAGGAAGTCTTTAAAATCATGTGGTTGGTTTTAAAATTACAAGATAAAAAAACCACTTGGTGTACTTTTTTCCTACTAAAGCTTCCTATTAAAGGGTCACGCTTCCAGCAATTTTCTCCACAACACAAAGCTAAAACCATGGCAAGTTTCAGAGTTCAATGGTCTGTTTAACTGGAAGCAAATATGGCTAAATACGCATTTGACTTCAAGAGTAGGTGCTTAAGCAAAGAAACTTTAAAATAAATTGTGAAAGCAGTTGCCCTTATGGAATTAGCAGATGTAACCTCCTGTTTCCCAACTGCTTCTGCAAGATTAGGAATTCTTCCTTGTACTTGCCCTGTAAAAACATATGGGACAATGGAGATGTGGCATCACAGAAGAAATTCAGGATATCTAAGCTGGGAAGTTAGTTCTTCTGATCCTTAAGTCTCAAAGGGCAATTCAGAAAAGAAACTACATTTAAGGCCTTTAAATCAGTCTCTGAAATCAAACTATCATGACTAACAGGTGTGTAGAATATGTGGCTGCTAACACCAAGGACTGAGAAACACATATTACTTGTTCTGCTTGGCAGCGCAATGATTTACACCTGTGCAAGATACATGAAGAAGTACTCAGAAGCAAAGATTTCAACATGAACATACTCATAAAACCAGAGATGACCAGTATTTATAAGTAACTACCCATGCACTGGCAGCCACTGGCATCTCAAGTGGGACTCCAGCAGATTTTTTTTCTCCTAGCTGTTGAGACCAGACCTTCTGGGATCCTAATGCTCTACCTGTCATGTGCACAGGACTTTTGTGCAACTGTGTGCAGAGTGAGCTGTCACAGGCTTGTACATCAGAATACGCCACAAAAATACTAACTAAGAGCTTTTCAGTGTTGAAAAGTGAGGCCAAGTCTCAGAAGAAACGTCTGCGATGGACCAAATAAAAAGAAACTTCTGGGTATGGATTACTCCAGAACAGTACACTGTCAGTTTCTTGTAGATCTCCTAAGCCTGAAGCACTAATTAAGTACTAGCAGGGGGAGGCTGCAGGACTAACAAGCCATTGTCTTAATCACATATGACAGTCTGATGCCTGCACGTGCAGTAGCTGATGCTCATGCCTACAGGTCACTGCAAAAATGGAGCATTAACCTGGAGGCTATTTTGAAACCTCTTGGTTGGCTCATTGAATATTATAGACTCCTATTATACTTTATAGAAAAGATAATATTAACCATATACAAAAAAAGAACAAATCTAATCCAGCAGCCTCAGTTTTCATGACATGGAATTATGCAGAAGACAGAAAGCAAAATATGGGTTTTGGAACAGAGGGAATATTAAAAGTGAAAGATGTTCCTCTGACTAATCCAGTGCACATCACATGCTACAGTACTACAGGATGAAAATCAGAGACAGCAGATGCAACACTATTTTACTCTACAAACTCCCTCTTTTTCACCTGATTCTGTCAGAACTGTTGAATTATGCTTCAGGTCAACTCCTCCTTCCCTTTATGTCAATGGCTGTTTTGCTACTGATTTCATTGGTGCTGCTATTTGTGTTTTTCTGAGGTGATGGTCCAATGTTAATTACTTTATCATGCTATAAAGTAAGTGAAAAATAGAAAATGAACCTGAGGAGAACAGAACAAACATACCATGAAAGTTCCAGATAAGCATTGAGAGCTTTTCTGATGACATGACCTAAGTAGCCATTCTTCTCTGCAATGTGTTTTGCCCAGCTGTAGAAAAGAACAAACAATAAAAAATGAACAGCTATGCTCCAGTAATGTTATCCTAACTCACACTGACTCAAAGGACGCAAAAGGATATGGGATCACCTCAGACTTCTTCCATAAGACAAACTATGGGATTTCACAGTAATTGCTGTATCAGTCTTGTAACTGTTGACTGAATGAGAACATTTTGTCCATTTGTTTCCATGAGCGTATCAGAGACATCCTGTGTATTTTCTTGGCAAAATTACCTTTTTTAATTCCTTTTTTTTTTAAGAAAACAAACATAAGTTAATAAGTGCTATAACTAATCTGCTTTCTTCTTGATGAAAAATACCAGTTCTATCACATCAGGAGCCTGATATTTCTTGAAAATCAAATAAGCATGGCTTTGTTAGATACAACCTCTCAGAGTTGTTCAATACAATCTTTCTGAGTTGTTCTGGAAAAAAAAGTACTAAAAGTACTCAGCATGTCTCAAAATCTACTGGTTGTTTAAATAACACACATATTCACGTGGACCAAACTTCACTGGAGAAGAACCTTTTGTCGAGGAAGTAAGCACCAAGAAGTACAAGATATTTAGACTATGGACTTAAAAATCACCAATAATCAAAATAATCCCATCAGAAATATATTCTCCTTCAACAAATGGTTTCATTCCTTACATTACAGCTTTTTCTGGATCTCTAGGGAAGTCTTCCATATTTCCTGTGATGTAGTACAGAGAGCACCGTAAAGTTCCTTCTATATGTCCTCCTTGGGCAGCTTTATAGAAATAGCGTGCAGCAACTGTCTGTGAAAAAACAACACACAATTAGCAACTCTGCATTATTAATGTTTATTGAGTTTTGTTTACCGGGACTCATTTTATCAAATGAATTAAAAGAGGCAATTGGCAAGCCAGTTTAACTACTTTTAATATTAGATGAAATTAATTCCTTTCTTTTAACTTTTTAATAGTTTAGGCTGGAAAACTAACTTCTGGTAATAAATGGAAGGTCAAATAGAAAAGCACCTAAATGTGTAACTAACACCTAGTAGCATATAAGTCTTGTGTGCTATGACAAAAGTAAAATCAGTTATTCACTAGTAGGGAGGCTAATCAGGGATCCTGGAGAACAGGACTTTTGTACTAGCCATGTCTAAGTGAAGGCTGGGGAGCAGCAGCAATGCTTAGTATCTCCAGCAGCACACAAACACAGTGCTCAAGCCTCTGGAACTGGTTTATAAAACATAGTAGGACTGGAGCCACAGAAGCGGGAGGGCTGTGTGACTCTCCATGTTTTACCCTCAGAAACAGTAATTTGTAATGTAAATCAAAGCAGCATACATCCTGAAATAATTTATTTCAGGAAATTTTTAACCATCAATACATGTTTTTTGTGAATGAGCACGGACTTTGGAGTATTCATCACAGCCACAACAAAGTAATTCTCCTTGCCCACGGCTTTGGTGAATAAAGAAACCTGGGCACTTTTAGGTGTACTCCTATAATTAGTCCACTCTGAAATGTGTATTTTGGTCCCTGGGGAAGGAAAATGTGTTTGCTAAATGCATATGTTGGCAAGTACTGCTGCTGTTGCCACCAAAAATGCTCACTGTCTGGAGTATATCGAGATCTCAGAACTCACAGGCTACACTGGAAACATCTTTCACCTCTAAGCACAAGGTCTGCTTGCATTTATTACAGCCTACCTCACTATGTTGGTGCTGTTGGTCATAAACTACCTAGTTAATTAAAACAAATATAACCAAAGCAGACCCTTCGTATTAGGGCAAAATTAATTTTGCACGTGTCAATGAGAAAAGTTAATAAATGGGCTGCGTCACAGAAAGACAAACAAAAATACTGCAGTCTACCAGGACTGTATTAAATAGTTACATTTGCAAATCTGTCTTGAAGGTCTTTCAGTGCAGTTCTGAGGTTCACAGAAGCTATGTGAATGTAGCACAGCTGTTCACAAGTTCAGGGACAAGGTCCTGCTGCTTTCACCTAGTGTGGAAAGCATCCTTTCCCTATATACTTTCCAATCTACAACTGACAGAAACCAACAGGATCACACAATGTGAGAGCACACACGACCCTCGCTGCTGTCACTGGATGGAGAAAAGCAGAGGCAGTCCCCAGAGCTAAACCTGCACCTGCTTTGTTTCTAAATTAAAGGAACACAAACACACACACATAAGTATGACTGAGATATTTGAGTAACATCTCTCTCTTTAAGCAATCTGACCCAATTTCCCAGTAATTCCCTTCTTTGTGACAAAAGCTGTCAAAACCTGACTCAGAGTGAACACAGCAGTCTCAAGAATGAAGCAAAAACTTCTAAACTGGGCCCTAATGTAAGAAGCACTACTATTAAATATTTACTCACTTGATTTCTGCCAGGTACTCCAGGGTAAATCCCATCTAAATAAAGGACACCAAGGTTGTACGATGCATCTGGATTTCCCAGTTCTTCAGCAATTAACCAGTGTTCGGCTGCTCTTCTGTAGTCTCTCTTAAAATTGTGGTAATACCATCCCAACCCATTCACTGCCTGGGGCAAGCCCTTAGGGAAGGAGAACAGTAGTCTCAGGTCACACGGTTGATTCTGCCTTGGGGCACTTCGCAATTCCAACCTGCTGCTTAACTTTGGGTGCTCTCGTGACCTTGCCTAGATTCCAAATGCCTGGCACAAGGATCCAGACAAAATTACACTGATCTGGGACTAAGGGATATAAAGGTTTGCTGCTTTTTTTTTTACACTATTCTTCCTTCTGGCCTCATACTGAGAGCAAGGAATAAGACTCCAGTGTCATCTTATTCTACAGAGTCTCAGCTGTGCCTGCATTCAGTTTTGTACTTGTTGACAAGAACAAATGGTGACTTTTTCACCTGTTTCCTCTGCAAAGCCAAAAGGGGACACCTATTCTTGTGAACTCCTGGAACACTGTTGACAGGATTATCAATCAAAAACATCACTTCTTTTAAACTAGAACATTTCCCTAAGAATAAACAGGAAGCAATGAACACAGAACTCTGTGATGCCGTTTACAAAATGTATTTGACCAACATCATACAGATCTGCTTAAGATAGTGCTATGTGCTGTTGCTAAGTTGCATTTTTCCATCAGTAATTATGGATCAAGAAGTGATCTTCCTGGATAGTTTTTACTTCGGTTGCAACGAGTCACCATCTCCTTCCATAAACTGGCAGATCATATGGTAGCTGTAAGTATGCCAGCATTTCAAATTACTCTGTACCAATAATTGTGAACATGCTACTTACTCCTATTTTATAATGTATGTTTAATAGTAACCATGCCAGAACAGTGACATAAGGTAAAAACTACCTAAAAAATCTCAGTGCACAAATACAAGTTATTTGGTTGTTACTGCTGGCTTCTACACTGCACAGTCTCCTTCTGTATCTCTGTAGAAAGAACTGCATACTACTGGCACTTACAAAGGCCCTCTGAAAAAGGATTCCTTTTCCTTTCAGTTTTAAACAGTGTTACTAAATTAGCCATTAAAATGCAAAAGCAGTTAAAACTCTTCAATAATAATGGCGTTATTTTTGTATAGAAAATGTACACTGGAGCATAAAAACCTAAGTATCTGGGTTCAAGGAGAGTAAGGAAATTGCTGTCTCTAGGATGCTTCCTGGAATCTGTTCCTCAGATCCTGAGTCAAGGGAATTTTGATCACACTGTGAAAGCCACTCGGTTTAATGCAGCCTTTCCCAAACAGGCAGCAGAACAGGTAGTCTCTCCGGTTTCAAAGGAATGACAGAACAGGCACAATTCTTTTCTGCTGGTGTCAGTAATTTAACTAGTTCTGGTTCTAAGAGCTGGGAAGGTATTCAAGGTGTAGGTACTCTTATATTTTTATACTAAGGACCAGATCATGGCCTAGGTAACCTGATTGTATTAGATCATTAGATGGAGAGAGGTTCCTCTTCTCTGTGGTGTCTGTTGATGTTTCTCCCTGACACGGAAAAAACAGAAGGCTTCAGGACATTCAGGTGTTCTCCCTGAAGTAGAGAAGAGCTGGCCAGAGAGAGCACAGACAGTCTGTTTCCAGTCACCAGCATCCCATGGAGAAGTTCTAACTCTAAGCAGAGAGAATTAGCTGTAAACCACCACAGCTCAGGGGTGGTGGGACAGGAAGCCACCATTTATCTGCATTCAGCTCTTC